TACTACCTTATTACCATGTAATTACAAGGTAATAAAAATGGTAATTAAATGTAATTACTACCTTATTACCATGTAATTACAAGGTAATAAAAATGGTAATTAAATGTAATTACTACCTTATTACCATGTAATTACAAGGTAATAAAAAATGGTAATTAAATGTAATTACTACCTTATTACCATGTAATTATGTGGTAATTAGGGTACAATTTTACTATGTTGATATGATTCTGTCCTTGTCTGCCCAGGTCATGCCTGACGGTTTAGTTTTATTATCTTATTTCATGTTCCAGTTTCTCCTCATAGTCTTGTTCCCAGCCTTACAGCTCACATACAGCTCCTGCTCATTGCTCTCGCCCCTCCCGTCATAGAAACCCTACTCAAGCTCATTTCACTCACCTGTTTCCTGCAGTATCTAACCCAGTCTCACTCTCCAGTTCACTGCCAGATTATCATCAGCCTCACCTATGATCTTCCAGGATTCTTGTCCCTTGTCCTGCTCTTGCCTCATGTCCCCGACCTTGCTCATGTCTCCTGGTTTAATGTCTCCTGTCTCAGCCCCTGTCAGATCCCGCCTGCCATCTGGTCTCACGGTAACAACCTTTTTTTCTCGGTCTCTCTCTCCTGCAGAACGGAATTATGATGTGGGCGATCGAGAACTGTTGGCGGTCAAGTTGGCCTTGGAGGAGTGGAGGCACTGGTTGGAGGGTGCTTCCCTGCCTTTTCTTGTCTTGACTGATCACAAGAACCTTGAGTTTCTTAAGTCAGCTAAAAGATTAAATCCTCAACAGGCCAGATGGGCTTTGTTTTTCAGTCGTTTCAACTTTGTTTTATCCTACAGACCCGGGACCAAGWACACTTAAACGGATGCCCTGTAGAGAGTTCATGAGTCTGACACAACCAAAGGCGACCAGGGAGGGTTCRTCCTTCCAGATACTGTGCGCCTGGCCTTAACCCAAGTCAAGAGAGAAGTCAGGGCAGCCCACCAGAACTACCCACCCCCCAACGAATGYCCGGATGGCAAACTCTTCGTTCCAGACCACCTAGTTGGTAATGTATTGGAATTTTGCCATTCTTYACGTCTTTACTGCCATCCGGGTATCACCAAGACAATAAGTATAGTCAGGTCTCAGTTCTGGTGGAGATCCCTAGAAAGGGATGTTAGAGAGTTCATTGGATCTTGTATTCAGTGTGCCCTGGCAAAATCCTCTCCACGGCCACCGGCGGGTCTCCTCAGGCCTCTCCCTACACCATCACGCCCTTGGTCACACATTTCTATGGATTTTGTGACTGGTCTGCCGCAGTCTGAGGGTAAGACTGTAATCCTTATGATCGTGGATCGTTTTTCTAAAATGGTACACCTTATCGCTCTCCCCGGTCTGCCCACAGCCAAGGAAATGCCTCAGGTCTTTATGGACAATGTTTTCAGGCTTCATGGATTGCCAAGCAATATAGTGTCAGACCAGGGTCCTCAGTTTATCTCAGGTTTTTGGAAAGAGTTTTGTGCCATGCTCGACATCTCACTGAGTTTTTCTTCAGGATATCACCCTTAGACTGACGGTCAGACGGAGAGAGCCAATCAAGAACTGGAGACCCGCCTAAGGATCCTGTGCGGCAACGACGCCACTAAGTGGGCTATGAATCTCTCTCTGCACTCAACTGCCTGCCATCAAGTTCCACAAGGTTGTCACCTTTCTATGTTGTCTACGGATTCCAGCCACCAGTGTTTTCTGCCCACGAACGAGCAGCCCAAKTTCCYTCAGCCCATCAAGCAGCCCTTTGGTGTCAGAGAGCTTGGAGAGCCGCCAAGAAGGAACTGGTAAAATCTACCAATGTGGCCTCCAGAACTGTCAAGAGGAGAAGGATTCCTGCTCCCCAGTACCAGGTTGGCRATCGAGTGTGGCTCTCCACAAAGTATTTACMGCTGAGGGTAGACTGCCGTAAGCTGGCTCCTYGTTTCGTGGGTCCCTTCCCCATCTCCAAGGTGATCAACCCGGCGGCTGTCAGACTCAGRCTCCCAGGCTCCATGCGTGTTCACCCCACGTTTCATGTGTCCCGGGTCAAGCCTGTCCAACTGTCCAGATGTTTGCCCTCCTCCAGACCCACTTCTCCCGCCCGACTCATCGACGGTGGCCCGGCGTACACGGTTCGCCGCATCCTCAAGTCCCGTCGTTGGGGTTGAGGCATCCAGTACTTCATCGTTTGGGAGGGATACGGTCCAGAGGAGAGATCATGGGTACCAGCTCGCYATGTCCTTGATAAAGTCCTCATCAGAGACTTCCATAGAAGCAACCCCAGTCAGCCAGCTCCAGCTAGAGGTCCGAGGGAGGGTTCTGTTTTGATTCTGTCCCTGTCTGCCCAGATCATGCCTCAGTTTAGTTTTATTATCTTATTTCATGTTCCAGTTTCTCCTCATAGTCTTGTTCCCAGCCTTTCAGCTCACATCCAGCTCCTGCTCATTGCTCTCGCCCCTCCCGTCATAGAAACCCTACTCAAGCACATTTCACTCACCTGTTTCCTGCAGTATATAATCCAGTCTCACTTTCCAGTTCACTGCCAGATTATCATCAACCTTGCCTATGATCTTCCAGCGTTCTTGTCCCTTGTCTTGCTCTTGCCTCTTGTCCCCAACCTTGCTCATGTCTCCTGGTTCCACGTCTCCTGYCTCAGCCCGTCGGATCCCGCCTGCCATCTGCTCTCACGGTAACGACCTTTTTTCTGTCTCTTGGATTGTTGTCACTTGCCTACTCCCTGAACGGAACCGCGCCACATCGGACCTCCTGGATCTGGACCCCTGAACACATCTCTGGACCAACGACTCAGTCATCTCCTGCAAACTTGGTAACTTCCTCTGATCACCTGAGTATGACCCTTGCCCCATTTCTGACCAAGAGTAAGTCCAGCGATATTATCGCTCCTCTTGACAACACAGCCCGGAACCAAAACACATCAGCTGTTGTTTCAACCCGGACCTCAACTCAGCAGGAAAGGTTGGTGACTCTCTTTATTTTTACAAATAATACTGTGTTTACGACTCAACCTAACCCAAAGCTTCTGTGTCCAGAACCTTCCAGCCGAAATTTCTAACAATAAACTTATTAAAACTTTGACGTTGTTCGGTGTTTACTCAGAGCTCAAAATACAAACCATAACATATGTAATTAATTGTCTGTAGTAATGTAGCACTTACCTGGTAATGTATTACAATTCACTATGTAACACCTAAATAAGTAGTAGGTTATTTGGACAGTTTTAAATTTATATTTTATTGCAATTAACCACTAACCCCAAAATGTAGTTGCATTTTTTTGGTTATAAATATAGTGTTGCGTTACTATTGAATAGTAATTTGATTGTAGTTACCCAATAAAGGTAGTTTTACTAACAGTAGTTTATCTTTGGTACCCTAATTACCACGTAATTACATGGTAATAAGGTAGCAATTACATTTAAGTATCTTTTATATTACCTCATAATTACATGGTGATAAGGTAGTAATTACATTTAATTATTGTTTATATTACCTTGTAATTACATGGTAATAAGGGTACTGTAAAAGAAAGCGTTACCGAGATAAGTGCTTTAGATTCAGCAGGATTCATGTTTTTAAAGGAAAGTGAATCACAGAGTCAAATAAGAATGAGCTGAACAGTGAAAGGTAATCATTAGCATATTTGTAGAATATTTGGAGTCACTGACATGGTCAGCATGTATTGACAATATAAGCAATCATGGTTGCTGCTATAATTAGTGCTCAGGTGTTTCCAACAGGTCATTTCTTCTGCGAGCAGTGAGGAGACGAAGATCCAGAACATCTGGGAGCTCAGAGACTGCACAGTGTGAAACAGCTGGTAGAAACCTCCTGATACCTGATGTCTTTGATGGTGGCTCTCTTCAGAGGATCCACCTGCAGCATGAGCATCAGCAACGAGGCCACGGAGCGCTTCAGGTACTCAGGGATGTAGAACACGCCACCTCTGATCTTCTTAAAGAGCGTGGGAACGTGCTCGTCATCGAAGGGCAACGTGCCACACAGCAGGGCGTAGAGAATCACCCCGCAGCTCCAGATGTCCACCTCTGGGCCTGCGTACAGCCTGGACAACACACGACGGGGAAAAGCAGGGTTTTCTACTGTGGATGAAAGGTTCTAACAAAAATATCTACTAAATATAGAAATTTATTAAAGGTATTGATGGATTGTGGAAAACTATTGGTTTCCTGCAAATGTTTTAACTACATTTCTACATGTGTTGTGTTTGAATCACACATAAAAAAGCTCCAACACACCTTACTGTCAGTGGTAATTCACATGGTAGTTTTAAGCAACGTCTTTGGAATAATGATTACATCATTGTGTTAAAAAGAGAAAAATGTGATTGAAGAAAGWATCAAGTGATTAGCTGAATCATGTAAAGCTGCATTATGTAATAATGTAATAAAATCAGGCTCAAATGTAATAAAACCTAATTAAATATGCTTTATGTAATAACACCAGGCTTCAAAATGTAATAGAAGTTTTGAACACATTTTGTAATACCCTCAGCTGCATTAGGTAATAAAATTATTACAATTAGAATTGTCTTTAATTTCATTGTACAGAGCACAATGAAATTAACGTTCAGAACAACCCATCCAAGACAGACAAGCACAAACAAACAGGAGAGTATAGTGGTTTTAATTTATATTTTCAGATCTTCCAAGGTGCCAATTATGGAACTCTCTGTGCATTGTTGCCCAAATCAAATTCTGGAAGTGGTCATTCAACTAGATCTGTTACAAAAGGACAACTGATATTACCAACTTTTAAAAACTGTTACGACCAGAGGTCTTTCTTCTATGTTATGTTTATACTAAAGCATGGAATGACATTCCTCAAAACATAAAGTCCATTTCAAAACTACAGCCCTTTAAGAAGAATCTTGTCTGCCATCTGCTGGACACTTTTTGTTGTGCTCATATTTAGACGTCCTATTTTGCAAATGCTGCCTTCCTGAAATTTGGTATGCTTGTTTGTCTTTGTGTCTATGGTGTATAATGATGTGATTGTGATGCTGTAATTCTGAGTGTTTTATGTGCTGCAGAACAGGAACCTGCTGTAAAACAGCRATTATGCTGAGTCAGGCTTGATTTTTAATAATCTTTTCCTGTTAAATAAATAAATCAAATCAGAACAGGTCCTTTAGCAGCGTTTGTTATAAAATACAGAGGCTGCTCTTTTCAGTAATGTAATAATGTGATGCATTATGTAATAAACTATCACAAACCAGCTGTCCTAATCATACATCTGTAACCATCATGTTGCAGATAGTAAATATTCAAATCTTTGAAACTTTGATCAACAAATGCCAAACTTTTCACCATTTAGTATCAAAGTATCTAAGTATTTAATACAAACTGAAGAGAAGCAGGAATATTTCCTGGACTGAAAGAATCAGATATGTTTAATGTTAGTGACACTCCAGGCTCATGTTGTTCTCTTACAGAACACACTGACAGTATTCACTCAACCAGTCTCCTCCAGAGGGGTTGGACCATTGATCTATATTACTGGATTGGACATCACCTATAGCCGCTATAGCTAGCAACACACCGTCACAGGAGCCATTGCTCTGCATTGAGTCATGTCAACAAAACAGTAGAGTTTCAATGCGGGATGCGTGTGTACATTTCAGCGTGAATGAAGAACCAGGAAACAAATGCAAAATTAGAATTATATTTAAATATATGACACACGACACGTAATTCTAGTTTTGCTTTTGTTTCCTGGTTCTTCATTCACACTGAAGTAAAGACAAATTCCTCCAGCTGGTCATAAAATAAAAGCGGTCGGCCCCTCCACCATTTAGCCTATGAAATGTACGGTGGAGGAAAAAAACGTTACAGAGTTTTTTACTCTGATATATAATCACAAACTACAGGATATACCATATGCTGACTGGACAGAACATCAGTACCAGTAATATCTACACAGCTCAGCCTAGTAGTAGTAAAGGTAATTTGACTGTTGTCCATTATATTTACCTCTTACAATGTTATCCTAACATAATAATATTAATAAAAAAGATAAGGCTAGTAAAATAAATAGCAAAGACAACTATGGGCCCATAGCTCTGGCCAGTACCTTATCGAAAGTTTTGGAGAAGGCTCTGTTAAGCAGAAGTGAAACGTTTATAGCGACATCTGATAATCAGTTTGGTTTTAAACCAAAACTTGGCACCGATATGTGCATTTTTGCTCTCAAGGAAATTTTAGATTTATACAAGAGACATAATTCCACAATTTTTATGTGTTTTATAGATGCATCAAAAGCATTTGATCATGTTAATCATGACAAATTGTTTTATAAATTGTATGAGAGAGGAGTTCCGAAATATTTATTAAGAATCTTAGTGTATTGGTATGCTCACCAGAATATGTCTGTAAAATGGGGAAACTCTGTATCATCATCTGTTTATGTGGGTAATGGTGTGTGACAAGGCAGCATTTTATCTCCTTGCCTTTTTAACCTGTATATGGATGATTTATCTCCCATTGTGAATGTCAGTGTACCAACCTGTGCTGTTGTGCTTCCAAACATTATGCGCAGATGTATGTGTAGATTAACAGACTCTGCAAAC